CAGCAGTCAAACATCTTCCGTTAGTCTTCGTACTTCATTTGCACTTCGTTATCACCACACCTCTGTACTTAGTTTTTCATCTCTTCCAGAGAGTGCTGAGTACATGGTGTTGGAAGAGGAGAGGGAGCTTCTTGAAAGAAATCATGAAAGATTTGCTGAATTATTGGAGCAAATCGAGAGGAGAACAGAGGAGCTTCAATTGCTCCAGCGTTTAACAGAAGCGCGATTGAGGTTAATCGAAAATGAAGCAGATCGAGGTATGGTTTACCCTTCAAATCCTAACCTTAACTCAGAAACCTTAAGCCATTGAGATAAAAGTTATATTTTTCAGTTAGAAGTCTGAGGTTTCTACGTCACAACGATGTCGCTGCCGGTGGAAAGGTGAATGAGTCATTGATAAGGTAAGGTGTTTTATGAGGTGGCGTATCTTTTTGATGTAGCGATAGTGTACAGCCACCTGAGATAGCAAAAAGATCTATTCACGTTAAACGACGGGCAATTATGGGCAATACAGAAGTGACGCCTATGGGAAATGCACCATCTGTCTTGACGATGAACCATTGGATCCTGTCGGATGCATATATTGCCAACAGCTGGTGGGCTGTCGAAGGTAAATTTATAAATTCGCTTTTTACTTTTTTGCATTTTCATACCATCAAAAGATAAATTTTACAAAGATGTAATTATTAAAGATGTGTAAATCGATGGTATCTACCAGCTCGCTTTGGGGTAAGGAATCATGCACTTTGTCCGCTGTGCAGGCACGAATGGTTGGAACAAGCGGAAGTTATGTGTATATTTTATTTGAAGAACGATTTCTACTAGGAACTTCATTGATGTCATAATCATCCTACCTTTTATGGTTACCTTGGCAGGATATGACATCACTTGTATCATATCGATGTACTTCATTCTGTAAGCTGCCTTCTGACATGATGACAATTCATTATTAGTAAATACTCTGCCATTAACTTTGTATAAAGACGTATTCTTCTTCTTGACCACATTATATATCGCATTTAAAATTCGGAACAAAGAGTTTTCATTTCGCAAATTTTTTTATACTCAGCGGAATTGGAAGACTTTCGTTTTTAGCTCATAAGAATTTGCAGCTTCATCTCACAATATTTCTAAATAATAAGAAGCAATACTCAATTAATCCGGCTCCAAACTCTGCGCCAGCTTAAAACAGTCGCGCCGCTGGGTCTGCAATGACCCGGCAGCGCTTTGATACGTACAATAGACTATACCCGAGCAACGTGACCAGGCAGCAGAAAAAACTATGTTGGAG